AGATCAAGTTGGTCTGTGCACTATGGGCCTATGGGTTATTGTCATGACTGCCTTAATTGAGTTGGGAAGACCCAACCCACTGTGGTCAGCACCCTTCCTTAGGGTTACATCCTGAAATGTCAAAGCGTAGAGAAATTGGGGCTATAAACATAGCTCATTGGTTACGAACATTTATTGGTTTTTTTTCCTTCTTTTGAGATGGGATTTCTGTGTAGCCTCGGCTGTCCTGGAACTCACTCTGTGGACCAGGCTGTCCTGGAACTCAAGAGACTCACCTGCTGCTGCCTCCCAAGTGCTGTTATTAAAGGCGTGTGGCACCACTGCCCAGCCACTTATTCCTTTTTATAGAGGACCAGTGTTCAGTCCCCATCATCCATGCAGTAGATCATAAGTGCCTAAAGCTCCAGTTCTTCCAGGCCCTCTTCCAGCCTACAAGGATTCCAGGGATGTGTGTTGTGGAGAACAGCTTGTTTGTCAAGCTGTTTTGTTATTTATCGAAAAAACATATTTTCACCCTGGCCTTCACTCAAGACAGAGGAAAGAGGGAGTTTTACCAAGTTCCTTAAAAACTTGTTTGTGTGACCTTGGGCCATCTCTGATGTAGGGAAGTAGTTTTAGAAAATAAGTTTGGCAGTGCCACAAACTTCTTTCTTGTATTGATGTGACTTGTTTTTGCTTTGCCTGTAAAAAAGGAATTGTGGCATAAACTCAAGCTGCAGTGTTACTGACAGCTATCTTGAGCTGATCCCGTGTACGTTGCGACTTGCTTTAATTATTTCAATCCTCACTCCCCACTCAGGAACTGCTCATCTCTGCCGGCGGGCTCCGGCAGTATGTGGCGCACATAAATCCATGAAGGCACTCATACAATAGATGATAAAATCTTTGAACAAAAGTACACAGATCAGCTGAGTAAAAGTGATATTTTCTATATTCCTTTCTCTCTGCTCTTTACTGTGGTTGTAACTAGATGCTTCAAGTTCCTGGCACTATAACATAAGATGGACTGTAAACTGGAGATAGGGTTTCTCTGCATAATAGCCCTGGCAGTCCGTCTGGACTCTTTGAAAAGCTGGGGTTGTATTGTTGCTGTGTTTTGTTTTGTTTTGGTCAGGGTATTTAATCACAGCACAGAAATGGAAGTAGGGAAGCTAGGTTAATACAGTTTTAAAGTGTGATGGTAAATCTGTAGAGAATTTTTCTAAGTGTCAAAATCAGGCTTATATTTGAAAAGTATTACTTTCTGCCTGTAGTAAAGCAACTCAAGAGACAAAAGGAAGGCAAAGAGACTGTTACTGCAACAGGCCACGGAAGTTATTTTAGGGATCAAAGCATGATGATGGAAGAAGTGAAGACAGAGAAAAGAGGACGGATTCTTGAAATAGTTCAGGTGCTTGACAAGCTCTGTAACTGACTGCACTGAAGGAAAGAAGGGAAAGGGAGGCTCGAGGATGCCTTTGGGTTTGTGTAACAGTTATGATTATTGTAGATGATAAGGAGGCAAGAGTAGAGGCACAGAGGTAAGGGCATTTCAGAACAATCAGGTTTTTGTTTGTGCTTTTATGTGGAGGATGCAGCTTTTGCTATGAAAAGAAAGTAACCCTTTTGGGTATGTTAGCATCTAAATGCTCATATAGCATTCGAGTAGTCACACAGGCGAGTGCTTCAAAGCTCTAGTGTGAAAGGGCCCAAGATAAAAATCAGAAAGGTATTTATATGAATAGGTCATAACAAGTATTAGCTGCATAAAGTAGGCCATCTGGGAAAGAGTGTATAGAAAGAGAAAGCCAGAGGAAAAGGTAAGAGGTTTTGTAGTTTGAGGAAGAAAATCCAATGTAGAAGGAAAATCAAAGAGAAGTGATATCAGAAGAGCCCAGAGGAATGTTTCATGAAGGAAGAGTAGAGCTGGGGGTATGGTTTAGCACGCCTGAGACCCTAGGTTCAATCCCCAGCTTTGAGAGAGGGGTTAGTGTACTGTATCACAAACTATTCAAAGATTGAATCATTAGGTTTGACCAAATGTGGACCCTGAGAAATATCGTTTTATGTAATTCCCAGGGATAAAAACCCATTTCTGGGATCTGAAGGAGCATGAAGAGGTAAAGACCACAAGTGTTTATCTGTCTTTCCATCCTTTAAGGAGTTTTGTAGAAAAATTGGGTGAAAGCAGAAGGGAAACGTACAGTTAAAGAGTTTTTGAATTTGGAGTTGGACTGCCAGTACACATGGCTCAGCGGGTAAAAGTGTTTGCCACCCAGTTTGATAACATGAGGTTGATCTCTGTGACCTCTATGGTGAAAAAAGAAGACAAACTTCCCCAAGTTGTCCTCTGATTTCCACATGCAAGATGAGGACATGCACACACACACACACACACACACACACACACACACATACACTCAGTGGTTGAGCATATATTTAGTATGTGAAAACCCTGGGTTCAAGCCCTTGCCTCTCTCCACCCAAATTGGATAGGATCCTAATAGGAGTGACTACAAAAGAAAATTATTATGGTTCTGGCACTTAGGAGACAGGAGCAGAGGGGTCCCACGTTCAGTACCAGCCTAGGCTACATAGTTCAAGACCTTAGGTTAAAAAAAAAAAAAAAAAGCAAGCAGATTGGAGTCTTCTAGAAGGTAAGCTTGTGTGTGTGCCTGCGCATGCATGCCTGTGTGCCTGTGTGTGTGTAAGCAAAATGCTGTTAAGTGGGCACATCTTTTTTTTTTTTTTTTTTAGTTAGTTGCTTTTGGTTTTTTGGTTTTTCAAGACAGGCTTTCTCTGTGTAGCCTTGGCTGTCCTGGAACCCACTCTGTAGACCAGGCTGGCCTAGAACTCATAGATATCCATCTGTCTCTACCTCCTGAGTGAAGGGATTAAAGCTGTCTTGCCACCACCACAGCCTGGCTAAATAAGCACTTTTAAAGAGAATTTTATTTTTATTTTATGGGTATGACTGTTTGCCTGCATGTACATGCGTACACCTTCAGCTTGCTGTTGGTGCCAGAGAAGTCAGATGAGGGTGGATGCGGTGGAACTGTGGAACCGGAGGTACAGATGGTCATGAGCCAGCATGTGGGAAACAACTGCTCTTAACACCTGGGGCATCTCTCTCTCTCTCTTTCTACTGGAAAGAATAGTCACTGAAATAGAGAGACTAGTTTAGGGATGATGAAAAATAACTTTTGGACATACTCAGTTTTGTAAAATATTTAAGCGAAAATTGACTACCTTAGCTAATAGTAATTTGAGCTTTGATATTATAATAGCCCTTAGGGAGAACAATACATTTTACAAAGAAACAACGCAATTCATTGACACTAGTTAAGTTATCCTGTACCAAATTAACAATGATTTATCTTGCCAAGATTCTTGGCACTTTTGTTAAGTTGGGAAAAAGCATAATAGTAATTGAAAAAGCAACTAATTATAAATAATTATAAGCCAAATTATATTTATACCACAATTAGTGTTTGAGGTGGTTCAGTAGGCAGTCGTTTCAATAAGCAACCATCAAATAATTGAACAGCTTGTAAAACACAGATATAGTCCTTTAATCTTTATTAAGTGTAACCACATCCTCCTTGAATTACTATAATAGAATAAGTAACATTTATTATATTTTGTACTAACCCATTTTGAGTTAGTTGCTTTTAAAAACATGGCAAAGTAATGCACGTACCTACTTCATCACACAGCTTCTTTCTCAACAAATTTCTTGGAGACATGTGAATCCATGCTCTTGTAAGACAAGAAGAACTAGCCTCCAGGGTTTATCCAAAGCAAATTTCAACAGTGTGTTTTGCAGTGGATTTCTCTAAGGATAATAGAGGAAGGTCACTTTGTCTTGTGACAATGATAGTTTTTAATTTTATGAGATTGGGGACTTTCTCCAAGTGTTTCCAAGTAACAAATAAGTTTGTGACCATCTTTCGCTACTTTAGATAAAATAATAGTTCGACTTGACCCCTAATTTATACTCTCTATTATCGTTAGTGAAAAGTCTAGGATGCCTGTTTATATTATTATCCTGTATCAATGAAAATCCTTCTTAGGCATTTGAAAGAGCGTTGTCTATTCGTGGGGTACTGGTGGTTGAGAGGAATACTTTCCATTAGTTCATCCCTCGAAGAATACTCCGAGAATATTATCAGATAACGACGTAGTATACTTAATAAAGCTAGTTCCTAGAAAGTTTTGCAAACTAAATCTCCACCAGTTGACCTCATGGAGCACAGGTTGATAAAGGCGGCTGTTGCACTCAGCCAACTCCTACGCTAGGCTCCGGGCAAGGCGCTCGGTGGGAGGTAGGTAGCGCGCCGGAGCCCTCCGAGGCCGGGCGCCACGTTGCTTTTCTCGTTTGAAATAGGAAGACAACGCTTCTGGCTATTGTGTAAACCGGTCGAGAGCCGCCTTCATCCCCACATCAGATAAAAGCACGAGTAGAACTGAAGCGCATTCCAATTCGACCCCGGGCAACGCGTACGTCACTGACAAAGGTTGAGTTTTATTGCCTCGGCTGCGTTCGTCTCGAGGAGACATATGAAAAAGAGAATGATTAAAAAAAAAAAAAAAAAACTCGTCTGAAACGGGGACCTGCCCAGGATCAAAGCCACCGCGCCGACCCAGCGGCGGCCACCGCCCCCGCCGAGCCCCGCAGACACCCCTCCAGACTCCCCCGCCTGTCCTCCGCCAGCCTGCGGTCTGCAGCGCGGAACAGCCTTGCCTCCCGCCCAGCTCTCCCCGCCAGCCCGGCTCCCCAAGTCCCCAGCCGGACAACGGCGAGGGCTGCCGCCCGGGGGACAGCGGCAGCTCCCTCCGCAGGCGAGCGAGCCGGGAGTTCCCCCCTGCCCTCCCAGGAGGCCCACTCCCAGCCAGCCGGCGCCCGGCGACGTTTGACTGACACGGCGCCGCGCCTATGAGGCCCCGGGGGCGGGGCTACCGCGTCACTTCCTGTCCTGCCGGGGAGGATGCCTTATATAAGGTCTGCGCTCACGCAGAACCCTCGCTTACACAGTATGGCCGGCGACATTAGCTAGCGCTCGCTCAACTCTCTCTTAACGGGAAAGCAGCGGACTACCAGAGACTGAACTGTATCTGCCTCTATTTCCAACAGACTCACGTTCAACTTTCGCTCACAAAAAAAAAAAAAATTCGCCGGGAGAATTTTATTAGTCCTTTTTTTTTTTAAAAAAAAGTTAATATAAAATTATATCAAAAAAAGAAAAAAAAAAGGAACCTGAACTTTAGTAACACAGCTGGAACAATCCGCAGCGGCGGCGGGAGCGGCGGGAGAAGAGATTTAATTTTAGTTGATTTTCTGTGGTTGTTGGTTGTTCGCTAAAGTCGCACGGTGATGGAAGCTGCACATTTCTTCGAAGGGACCGAGAAGCTGCTGGAGGTCTGGTTCTCCAGGCAGCAGTCCGACGCAAGCCAGGGATCTGGGGATCTTCGCACCATCCCGAGGTGGGTGCCGGGGCCTGGCGGGGGGCGGGGAGGCGGCGGGGGTGGCGGCCTGCGGCGGGGCCGGGCCGGCGGGCGGGAACCGGCTTCTCCCGCCGCCGTTGCGGGGCCGCCCGCCCTGGGGGAGGGGAGGAGGCCGGCGCGGGCGGCCGCGTGCTCAGGTAACGTCCCCGGCGGGGCCCGGGCGGCCGGGCCTCGGGCAGGTGTGGCTGGCGTCGCGGGGCCTCCCCGGCGCGGGCTGGGCGGGAGCGGCCGTGTCGCAGTGCCGGGCCCGCGGCCGAGCCCGTCCGGGGCCCGCGCCCCGGCTCCCCTGACCTTGGGTTGTGTAACCTGTTCCGGAGTCGAGCGCGGCGGGGCGGTGGACGCTGGTCGCCTGCTCTCCCCCCCGGGGCCCGGGAGCCTGTTTAATGCCTCTGAGCCGCAGCGGGGGAGCCCGGGGAGGCCCCCCGCGCCGGCGGGACGTCGCGCCGAGAGCTGTCGGCCATCGCCCCGCGGGGACCGGCGGATCGCGCCTGCAAGTGTGGCCGGCGGCGTGCGTCCGCGGGCTCCGCCGAGCCGCTCGGCGCGCTGAGGCGACCCGGGGCGGCGGAGGAACCGGCGTGGTCCGGTTCATTGAGAGGCGGACCAATGAGCTCCCAGGCTCTTGCAGCGAGCCTGGCCCCAGGGTGTGGACCAATGGGCGTTTTAGGAATGTTGGCTGCGCGTTGCAACCGTTCTCTGACAAAAAAGCGAGCCGAGGATCCCGGCGGCCACGTGCCGCCGAGACTTTAAGGCACACTGGGAAACGCAGTTCCGACGAGTTGGCTGCGGACGTTTCCCATTGTACGGGGAAGTGCAGCCGGAGCGACGTAGAGATCTCGGCTTGAAAGCCTCGGGTGACACGTGTGTCGTTTTCCCCTGGCAGCAACAGTTTTCACGTGGATTTGCTCACAATGACCGTGGAGAGGCTTATTCCTTTCAGGAACAGTAAGCTGGTGATTGTGGTAGGCGTCTTGAAAAGCTAGTGCTGCCGGGATCATTTCCTAGAAAATCTTGGTGGTAGGGACCGAATGAGGAGGGTTCTAGGAAATTACCAAAACCGTCTGGAAACGAAGCGATCTATCTGTAACACCTTTAGGAAAGGGAAGATTTTTGTTCTCAACTTCCTAGTTGAAAATTCCAGAGGTTAAGAGCACTGGATGCTTTTCCAGGGGACCCAGGCTCAATTCCCAGCACCCACGAAGCAGCTCACAACCATTTGTAACTCGGGTTTCAGGGGCCTTGACCCCTTGTGGGTCGTGTACAGTAGGCAAAACACCCATAGGTGTCAAATAACATGTTTATTAACATGTAAATGCTTTTTAAAATGGCTCCTGAGTAGAGGAAAGATGGGCCTTTTTAAGAAGGCAAACTATTTTGTTTTTCAATTTTTTTCCCTGAGACAGGGTTTCTCTTGCTGTGCTCTAGACCACGTTGATCTCTAACTCAGAGATCCATCCACCTGAGCCTTGCAAGTCTTAAGATTAAAGATGAGTGCCACCGACCCGTGCTTTCTTTAATTGTTTGAAAACCAGAAACTGGAATTTTTTATGTGCTTTGTAGATATTTATAGCTAGTTTTAATCAAGTAGTAGCTGAGATCTATCAAAAGAACTGAAAGACTTCACTGCTATTTTAAACTGAAACCGTAACCAAGGAGTAATAGGATTAAATAAACTATTTACAGTTATTAACAGTTTCTGATTCTGTTCTTTTTTAGACCAAGGCTGCAGAAGAAAACAATATTAGTAATATAAAATGTTAGGTATTAAAGATGGCAAGTCGTAGTTTGATGTAGTTATTTTTATCCAGACTTTGAGCCCACTCAACTTTCGGGATTTTGTTGTTTGTTTGAAAACACAGTTTGGTTTTGTTTGGTTTTGTTTTTTGTAGCTTTGACTGGCCTGGAACCCTGTAGACCACGCTGGTCTTGAAACTCATTAAACTTTTTTCGTATTTGATAATCAGAAAGTTCTTACATGTCATTGCCGAAAATACCGCCCTCATTGGTTTTCAAAATGTGAACAGATGTTAAAAGAGATCATAGACAGTTAAAGAAGCAGTCTATTTTTTTACTTATTCTTTTTTTTATTAATTACAATTTATTCACTTTGTATCCCAGCTGTAGCCCCCTCCCTCATCCCTTCCCAATCTCACCCTCTCTCCCTCCCTCTTCTCATACCCCTTCCCTAGTCCACTGATAGGGGAGGTGGTCCTCCCCTTCCCTCTGACCCTAGCCTATCAGGTCTCATCAGGACTGTCTGCATTGTCTTCCTCTGTGGCCTGATAAGGCTTTCCCCCTCCTCAGGGGGAGGTGATCAAAGAGCCAGCCACTGAGTTCATGTCAGAGACAGTCCCTGTTCCCATTATTAGGGAACCCTCTTGGACACAGAGCTGCCATGGGCTACATCTGTGCAGGGGTTCTAGGTTATCTCCAGGCATGGTCCTTGGTTGGAGTATCCGTCTCAGAAAAGACCCCCTGTGCCCAGATTTTTTGGTTCTGTTCTCCTTGTGGAGCTCCTGTCCCCTCCAGGTCTTTCTATCTCCACCTTCTTTCATAAGATTCTCTGCACTTGAAGCAGTCCATTTTTAAAGCATGTTGAACACATGCCTACAGAAAGAGTTAAGAGAATAAATTTAGAAATGATTGCTTTTCATACCTTCAGCAAGAAGCAAGGGAACACCTTAAACAACACCTCCCCAGGCATGATGGTTTTGAGAATGATTCAAAGGGACTGTTTGTGTTTGCTAGTGAAAGCAGGATTATATTTCCACACTGGAAATCTACTAACTACTAAAGAGGAGGTAGTTGGGAATTAGTAGTATACACCTTTAATCCCAGTAGGGGCTAGGCAGGGGTCAGGCTGGTCTTCAAGGGAGCTTTAAGTCAGTCAGGCACTACACAGTGAGTTCTTGTCCCCAGAAAGTTAAAACAAGTGTGTAGTTGTATACATTCTGTATACAGCAGAATGCTACCAAGCAAAAATGAACCATTGATATCATGCAAAACATGAGTACTAATATAAGCAGATATGCTGAGAAAAGATGCTGGATAAAAACATACATGCTATGAGATTATATTTCTGTAAAACTAGGAAATGAAACTAATCTGACAAGATTGGTCAGTGGTGGACTGGCAGCCTTATAAATGGAGGAATGGAGTATGAAGGACCTTTGAAGAATTGCAGTGGGGGGGGCTGGGACTGCAGCAGTGGGGGCGGGGGGTGAGTGTCTTTAATCCCAGAGGAGGCAGGGGAAAGTAGATCTCTAACGCCAGTCTGCTCTACAGAGTTCAGGACAGCCATGGCTACATAGAGAAACCTGTTTCAAAAAATAAAGAATGCATTGCTGGCTGGGTATTCTGCCATCTGAGAGACAGAGGCAGACGATTGTCTATGTAAGGCAAGATCCAGGTTGGCCAGGACTACATAGACACACACTCGTGGATTAGTTGCTGAGTAGTGGAGTTGGACATCTTTTCCTGTTTGTAAGATTTCACTCTGGCAAGGACTGAGTGGATAACAGTATTTGATGAACAAGTCTGGAAAACTCAGTTTCATTCCCAAAACAAATGCACACGAAAGTTGGATAGAAACACCTCCGACCTCTGAAGAGTTGTCCTCAGACCTATACAAGTGCATCTGGCATGCTTGCCAGACACACAGGTATGTAGTAATAGAGTTTGGGTGTGATGGCACATGCTTGTCCCAGGGCTCTGATATAGACGCTGTAGGGCTTTGAATTTGAAGCTTGCCTGGTCTGCCAAGTGGGACCCTAGTGCCCCCCCCCCCAAAAAAATGTCTTTTGGGTGTGTTCTTTAGAAAATAGTTTGAACTTTGGATTCGTTTTCTCTCTCTTTTATTCAATTTAGCTTTTGAGGTGGTGTCTTATCTGTAGTTAAGCTTTGTTGGGACTTCAGGTTTCAGTCTTGTGCGACTGGCTGAGCTGTGCATACCCGTAGTCGCATCAGGAGACTGGGGCAGTAGGATTTCAGGGTCTGCATGGTTAGTGTAGGCAAAAAGGAGGCCCTGGCTCATAAAACAAACTATCTAGGGCTGGGGAGATAATTCAGTTGGCCAGATGCTAGGACTTGAACTGCATGCCTTGAACCCTGGGCAGAACCCATGTGTCATCTTGTTTAAGTTTGTGCCAGGAAGACAGGACAGGTAGTGATGGGCTGATTAAGGATACCTGTCTAAAGGGAGATGGACACACTCTTAAATTGTCCAGATGGCCAGTATGCAAATGTGCCTTTACCAGAGTGCATGCATTAAGTTTAATTTATTACTGGTAATATTTTTTTCTCTGATAGTTCCTGTTATGCCCTATTTTAAATATCTTTGCTAATCTCAAAGTCTGAAGATATTTTCTCCTGAACATTCTACATTTTATATTTAGGTATGGAATTAGATATGGCTTTTGTATATGGTATGATAGAATAGACCTTTCAGGCAAAATGGTTTCTTCTTTCCAAGCTTTAATGCTGGGACAAGGTGCAAACATACTGAAAACAGCCTTTTAGAGTACTTTTCCCCCTGAGTAGAATACTGAGTATATTTCACTGGAACGAATTACAGGCAGGTGGTGGGTACTGAGGCCTGAATTCCTTTTAATTTTTGGAAACAGAGTCTTTCTACATGGTCCTGGTTGTCTGTCCTGGAGCCATATAGATAAGCCCAGGCTGGCCTCTGAGCTCATAGAGACCTCCTGCCTCTACATACTGCATGCTAGGACTAAAGGTTTGTGCTACCAGGCCTGACTCCTGAATTCCTCTTAACTGCTGATCTGTCTCATCTCTTCAAGTGTGCCAACCCCACCCCCTTTCATAGAGGAAAAGCTTGGCTGATGCAGTTTGGTTTAAACAATTACTTAATTAGGGAAGAGTATTGGTATGGGTAATGTAGATGACTAAAGCAATGAATGATCTATGTGGGATTTTAGAGTCCACTTCATAATATATTTGAAATTAAAAAGAAAAGCATAGTTTCTTAGGGTTAAGTTTGGTGAGAAATGGTGGTTCTAACTAGCTGGGCCTGGTGGCAAATGCCAGCAGCAGGGAGTGGCACACAAGTGGATTTCCTAGTTGGGGACCAACTGGTCTACCGAATCAGCTAGGGCTACCCACTGAGAACCTGTCCAGAAAAAAGTGGTTCTGACTATAAGATCTCTTCTCTTTACAAGTCATGAGACTTTGAGCTATTCTTAGTAATAAGGTGAGGTTAGGTGGGAGATTCCAGTAGCAAATGAACTTGAGAAATAATAGCGACTTTTTAAATATGGTGGAAATGGCATTTAGAACTGGTTGGATTTTTTTTCCACAATTTATTCATTATATCTTCTGATTGAAGCCCCTCCCTCCCTTTTCCTCTCACTCCCTTCCCCTAGTCCAACGCCGAAAGCGGAATTCTTTCCTATTGCCATCTGCCCTTAGCTTGTTAAGTCTCATCACTTGGATTCTTTTCCTCTGTGGCCTGGCAAGGCTGCATCATCAGGTCAAGTAGTCAGCAGTCAGCTGAGTTCATGACAGAATGCAGCCTCTGTTCCGCATGGAACAGAGATTCCGCATGGAACAGCCTCACTAGATTCCGCATGGAAACTGAGCTGCCAATCAGCCACATCTGAGCAGGGGTCTGGGTCCTCTCCATGCATGGGCCTCTGTTGGTGCACCAGTCTCTACAGGAACCGCTGGCCTCAGCTCTTTTGTTTTTGTTGGTCTCCACTCCTCTCTTCCTCCACAAGACTCCCTGAGCTCTGCCCAAAGTTTGGCTGTGAGTTTGAACATCTGCTTCCATCCCTTTTTGGGTGAATCCTTTCAGAGGATCCTCTGTAGGAGGCTTCCATCCTGTTACCTCTCTTCCACTGCTTCTGGTGTCTATGGTTGGATATTCTTAACCTGCTTTAGGGATGTTATAAGGAAGATAAAATTTCCATTAGAGGATCATATGTCAGTATTGAAGTTATGGTCATTTTACATAGAAAGCATTTACAATGCGCTGCCAGAAAACCTTTTGGTTTGAGTTTCCCACACAAACTTTTGTTGTGGTGTGGTGCACATATTCAAGTGTTTCTTCCTGTAGGGCAGAGGGCAACTAACAGAAATCAGTTCTTTCCATTTTTCTTTTCCCTCTTCTTGTGGTTCTGGGGGTCTGTAATTACCACTGTTTACCCCAAACAAACTTATCTTTTTAGAAACATACACTGAACATTGTAGCAGCAATAGAGAAAATAATACAGATGAATTTGGGACAAGTTTTGTTAAGATGTTTGTTGCACACACATGTAGGCGCCCTTGGAGGCCAGAGAACAGCATGCAATCCCCTGTAAGCAGCCATAGGCTATGCACTAGGTTACTGCTTACATAACTACCTTGGGTTAGGGTTGTGGTGGCCTGAGATAAGAGTCTCAGAAACAGCCCTTAGTCAAGCTGTGTGCTCGCTAATTTGGTAGCTTTGGTTGAATTTTAAACAGGGACTGAGTAAGCTGCACTTTGAAACTAGCCATTTTACTTCAGGAAGTGGTATGTAATCACTTAAATTTGTAGATTAAAATCTCTGAGCAACTTGCCAGGTAGTCGCTGGATCTGACAATAGAATCTGTGTACCATCTTCAGGTGACGGAAGTGTAACTCTACTCTTGTCTCTGATTTCACTCTGCCTGCCTGCTAGTACTGTTCTGTTCTCTTGTGTAGGATTTGTGTAAAGTCTGTAGCTTACTTATACCTAATGCAGTAGGAAGCTGATAAAGAATGATGATGTACTAGCACAAGAAAGAAAGCTCTGTACGTGTTCATTGGGTACATAACTAATTTTTTTTCCAAATACCCTCAGTCCTCAGGCACCTGTACTTCTTAAACACAAACAACCTTCTCTTTATCCCTTGTCAACAACCTTTTAAAGTTTTTGTTTTGTATGTGTTTTGCCTGCATATATGTTTGTGTACCACTGAAACTGGAGTTCCATTTAATAATGAGCCTTAATGTGGGTGCAGAGAATCAAACCCAGGACCTTTGTAAGAGTAGCCAGTGCTCTTAACCACTGAGCCATCCTCTTTTTTTCTTTGTCTGGACTTGATTTAGGTGAAATGTTAAGAGTATTTGTGTCTACTTAATGATAATATACCCTTGGTTCATATTATCTTGTAGCATTTGATGGGGTTTTTTTTTTAAGCTATTAAAAATTATGCCGAGGCTAGTTTCTATACCATTTTCCATGGTTGCTGCTTGCTCTTTCTTTGAGGAGGCGTTGGTCCTTGTATACTGTAGGTGGGAGCCGAGTAACAGTTTGTGGATTATACTAGCCTGGATTTGTCACAGGTCCTGACTACATTCAGCACCCAGCTTTGTCCAGGCTGCTCAGTCCCGAGACAAATATATGTGCTTCCTCCATCTTAGCAATTTAGCATGCTTCTTCCTCAAGTAACAGTGATGTTCAAAGTAGTTAGCATTTTTTTTTTTTCTGTCATGGAATGAAAGGAAGTGGTTTAACAGTTAGACTTATCAACCAAGTGGTTTTGAAGATACATAGTATCTTACAGCCAGAGGCTCAAGAAAAGAAATCATGGCAAGAAAGATAAAATTAAAGGCAATACAGTGCTATGTATGTAGGCACAGCATGATGATACATAACTTTAATAGGGGCAAGTGAACCTCTAAATTCATGGACATCCAGAGTTAAATAATGAGACCCCCTCTCAAACAAACAAAAACCAACTATTGGAACAGTTGACTATATTAGCACATGGTGGAAGGATACCTAGTATTCTAAAGAAAGCCTTATTGGAACCTACAGTGGTCTATTCATCTATAGCAACTATGGTTATTTTTGTCTAATAAAGGCAAAACTGAGTAGGAATAATTCTCTACTCTAGCATTAAAAGTTGTATTGCTGACTTATTTTAAGAGGAAAGGCTGTATTGCTGTCCACATTATATCCAACAGGGCTTTATGCAGTTGGCTAAGGCATTTTCTAAGTTACATATTCATCCATTTAGAAACTACAGTGGAAGCTGGGTGCTGGTGGCACATTGGAGGCAGAGGCAAGTGGATCTCTTGAGGCCAGCCTGGTCTACAGAGTGAGTTTGAGGACAACCAAAGCTAAAGCAGAAACTTTGTTTGGAAAGAGAGAGAACATTGGAGTTGGTGATAATGATGGAAGATGTGTGCTTTATTCCTGAACACTACACCAAGATTACTAGCCTATATTAATTATTGCAACAAATTGGTCTGCTTGGAAGCAGAATTACAGGTTTTAAGTATAGCATTCAAACTGATAGCTAATAAAGCCAACACATTAGGATCACATACTAGTATACTGGTTGGAAATTATTAAACTATCAAAGCTTAGTAAAACATGTAATTCATATCCTATTTGTATATACTTCTTTTTTTAAAGGATACTTTCTTATTGATTTAGGTCAGCATTTCTTACTTGGAGACAGTTGCTACCCAGGAGAAATTTGGCAACGTTTGGAGATATTTTTTGGTTGGCACAACTTGGGACAGGGGTGTTGCTTCTGGCATATAGATGGATAAAGGCCAAGGATGTTTGTACCCCATGCAATGAGCTCAAACACAAACAAGGAAGTACATGGATTAGAATGTCTACAGTAGGTATTGAAGTAACTGATGCTGAAAAGTCAGGCAGTGGTGGCACGCCTTTAATCCCCAGCACTTGGGAGGCAGAGGCAGGTGGATCTCCCAGTTCAAAGCCAGCTAGCGCTAGAGGAACCCTGTCTTGAAAAAAACAGAAAAGATACTGGGGAGCCAAAAACCAAAGATGGTGATTTTTGAGAAAAGGCCCAAAGTAGTACATGCTCTTTGCTTATGATAGTAAGCAAGGTATTGGAAAGATGTGATAAAGAGTAATCGCTGCTCTTGCAGACAACCCAGGTTGGCTTCCCAGCCGCGTTGTGGTAGCTTACAAGCATTTGCAGCTTCAGTTCCCTAGGATCTGACATCCTCTCTTGGCCTCCGTGGGTGCTGCATGCATGTTGTACACAGACACATGCTGCAGGTGACCGCACACATAAAAGTGTTTGGTAGTTTAGTCACAGCACGCAGGAATCAGGTGGGTAGATCTCTTTGAGTTGAGGCCAGGACTTGTACATACTGAAAAATCCAGGGCAATCCAGTGGAGCCCTGTCTCATAGAGCAACAAACAAATAATAAGTAGATGAAGTGGTTTCAGTTTACTCTGCAACATTTTGTTTAAAATCTGTTTTAGCTGAGTGTGGTGGTGCACACCTATAATCCCAGGCAGAGGCAGGCAAATTTGTAGGGCAGCCTGGTCTACAAAGTAAGTCCGTGACAGCCAGGGCTACACACAGAAACCTTGTCTTGGGGTGGGGGTGGAAAGGAGAGACTAGAAATATAACTCAGTGTCGAGTGCTTGTTTAGTGTGTGGACAGCACTCAGTCTCTAGCATTGGGGAAACATTTTCTTGAAATGAATAAAGTCTGGTAGAAGAAACAGCACTGTTAATTGTATTTTCTATTGAATAACAGATCTGAGTGGGATGTCCTTTTGAAGGATGTGCAGTGCTCGATCATAAGTGTGACAAAGACTGACAAGCAGGAAGCTTATGTACTCAGGTGAGTCCTGCAGAGAGTTAACTGAGAAGCTACTGTTCTAATCACAGCCTTTGTGAAATACTGAATATCTTCTCGCCAGAATCTGTTTTTTTTTTTTTTCTCCAGTTTTAAGACTGGTATAAAATGTAATTTTTGTGTTTCTAGGTAGTTTTTTCTTTTAAGCCTTGCTAGCAGCTCTTGATGGTTGCCATGTTTCCCACATAGTTAGCAGCAATGACTGTTGGGTGAAAGAAAAACATTTTATTATGATACCACACACACACACACTGATCTCTGCCCCAATTTCTGACAAGGTATGAAATTTTGCTCCATTAAGTCAGGTTGCTGTATTAGTATAAAAAAAGCCATTAACCAAATTAGGTGTGACGTTAGTTTAATCAATAAATGCTTTGAATGGTTAGTTTATACTGTGGGCCTTAGGCCTAGCACTAAATAATATACACTAATACTTGATTTTGTTTTTACCTAAGTGTGTTTGGCTTGAGCAGAGATGTTTAACAGAATGCTTATGCACCATACCAAGTAGATAATACTATGCAAAAACATTGATTTCCTCACAAAATTTGTTACCTAGTTAAAGAAATGAAAAAGGCATGTTATCAGTGGTGCCCACGATGAGGTGAAGTGAGTCCAGGACAGCCAGGAATACACAGAGAAGCGCTGTCTTGAAAACAAACAAAACAAAAGGGGAAAAAAGGAGAAAAGAAAAATGAAATTACACAATTGCAGGAAAATGGGTGGACTTGGAATGTATATTATTTAAGCAAGGTCATACGAATGCATGTTCAGAATCTAGCCAATTGTATATGTATGTAGAAGAAAGAATAAGAAAGGCTAAATATTAGGGGGAAATGAATGTATATTATAGGATATAACACATAAAAGGACATAAAGCTAATTGTTTTTCTAATTATGTTGTAGATTATTTGGTGTTGGTGGATAAGTACATAAAATACATTCATCAGCGATGGAAAAATCACAAATATTGATGAACTAATAGATTAGTTGTAGTTTCCATAATATTGGTGTAGAAATGATTGTGAAACTTTGTGTTGCAGTGAGAGTAGCATGTTTGTCTCCAAGAGACGTTTCATTTTGAAGACATGTGGTACCACCCTCTTACTGAAAGCACTGGTTCCCCTGTTGAAGCTTGCTAGGGACTACAGTGGGTTTGATTCGATTCAAGTAAGTGCTCAGACACCTTATTTAAAACTGATGAGTAGTTTCTGTTTTGGTTGGGTTTTAACATTTTACCTCAAAGGAAGGCATTAAACTCTCAATTTTGGTTTCTTTGCACCTGTGGTTGGGACTGAACCCAAGGCTTCAGGCCTGGTAGTCAAATGCTCTGTCATTAAGTTACACTGCCTGCCAATATTGTTTTGGGCTTTGGCTTTTTGTTTTGTAATGTGGATGTTATCACATAGACCAGGCTTGCCTCAAACTCAGTCCTCCTGCCTCTCCCTCCAGAGTTCTGGAGTTACAGGTGCATGTTGCCACACCCAGCCTGTTCTGTAGTCTGGGAAGAACTGGGGTGTGTCTGGTGTTGGAGACCTGGCTGTCTTCAAACTACACTCTTGCTTCAGTGTCCTTAGTGTTAAGAGTAAAGCTGCCGGCCGCCATACTCACCCCACTAGTGCAGTCTGGTGGGTACTCAGCTAGCCTGTAGGATATCTCAAATGTGGGCACCACTTGTGTTGCTGATTATTGAAAAACACTTGACACTCAAGCCTGACATCTTGAGTTTTATGCTCAGAACCCAGCAAAGCTAGGGAAAAGAAGTGACTCCAAATCTGTTCTCTGACCTCCACATGCACACCGTGGTACACATGTGCACACGACATAAGACCTAGTCATCTCTGTTGTCCCATGGTTTTTGCTTACTTAACTTTTGAAAACCACCACTACAAGCTGGATGTGGCTGCACACTTGGGATCCCAGAGCTTCAAGGGGGGGAGGGGGCCGCATTAATGGTCTACATAGTACGGCCTTGTTTGTTTATTAATGTATATGAATGTTTTTGCGAGCTACATGTATGTGTGTGCCTAGTGCCCATGGAGGCCAGAATAGGGCACCAGATACCTGGGGCTGAGTTAGATAGGGCTTGTGAGTGTCCATGTGAGTGCTGGGAATCAAACTTAAGGCCTTTAAAAGAATCACTATTTTATTTTCTATTCCAGTTTAAGTACATTGCAAGCCAAGTGTGGTGACTCATATCTGAAATCCCAGCTCTCAGGGAGACAGAGGCAGGCAGGTCTCTGTGAGTTTGAGGCTAGCCTGGTCTACAACAACAGAAAGTACTTTGCAGTAGTGAAAGCAAATGTACCAGTGTTGTCCAGGTGGCTGATTTGTGTGCTTCACGGTTGCAACTTGAAATATTTTGTAAAGTTTTAATTTTGTTGGCTTTTCTATATGTAGAAAATTGGTTTGGAAAGATTAAAAATCTTTCTTTCTCTTTTAAGAGCTTCTTTTATTCTCGTAAGAATTTCATGAAGCCTTCTCACCAAGGGTACCCACACCGGAATTTCCAGGAAGAAATCGAGTTTCTTAATGCAATTTTCCCAAGTAAGTAAAAGTAGAATGTAAGAATCCTTGCCTTCTGAAGTAGGGGCACAATCATTTAAAGATGGGTACGTGTTTTGTTGGCTGGTTTTGTTTTGATTTCTGAGATGGGGCCTCACGATGTAGCCCTTGCTGGTTTGGGTCTGGCCTGCAACTCAGCGTTTGTTTTAGATTGTTGGGCATACATACATGTAAATGTACACTTCATGTTAGTTCCGTGCTTATTTGTTTCCCCTGCTTATCTGGATGTCATAAAGATTTCAGACATTTTAGTTAGGTGGGTAAAACAACAAATTTTATTCTTGTAAAAACAGTATGGGCAGAATGTTGTGGAAAGCAAGGCCCTGGCTACTAGGCTGAAGAAGCCCATGAACCTAAGCACTCAGGGCAGTCAGGTCCAGATAGTGAGAATATGTTTCAAAAACAGCAGCTATGTGGATAGCTCAATTAGTTGGAAGTTGCTTACTACACAAGACCCAAATTTGATTTCCAGTACCTACATTTAAAATAAAAACAAAGGTAGCCAGGTGTGGTGAAGGGGGAGTTTGTAATGCTGGTGCTCGGGAGGTAGAGACTAATAGATACCAGTCGCCTGGCCTGGCCTGTTCTTGGGACTTAGGCCAGTGTTTCAGCAAATGTGGGCTTACAGGAATAGATTTAAAGGTGAAAACCTGGGATTAAAGTATGTATAGTTCACAAGTAGTGTTGAATTTGTACCTCACATGTATGAAGCCCTGAATTTGATCTTCAGTACTGCAAGAAATAAAAGACTTCAGACACTTAGCAGTTATTTTTAACATTGAACAAACACTACTCTGGGTATGTACTTGCTTTGCTTACTAAGGGAAATCTTGAAACAGTTTGGGAAGGATATGTAAATAAAACAACTTATATTAAGCAGTTGTTTCTCCAGGCAGATCTCTGTGAATCTGATCTACAAAGAGGGTCCAGTTCAGCCAAAGCTACACAGAAAAACCCTGTCTCAAAAAAGTACTTGTTGCTTGCAAAGGACTCAGGTTCCTGGTTTCCACATGGTTAATAGATCTTGCCTCTGTGGGCATAAAACACCCATGTGGTGTAGCAAACTCATACAAACAGACAGCAAAACACATGATTTTCCTATTAGAATTCACCCGCTTTAATTTCCCTTCTGAGGACATCACCAATCAGTGGCAAATACTGTTTATTGAATGGCTGGTAATGTGCCATCCTGTTAAGTAAATTTTTAAAACTACTCTTTCCTCACAGATGGAGCAGCATATTGTATGGGACGTATGAATTCTGACTGTTGGTATGTAATTTTGATTTTGGCTTTATTGCCTATGTGTGTGTGTTTGTTTGTTTTTTTAGGGGAGGGAATGTTTTAAGCTAGACCTGGTAACCCACACTTATTAATTCTAGCTACTCTGGAGGCTGAGGTGATTGGAACAAGGCCAGTAAAGGCAACTTGGTGAGAAAGAAAGAAGGGTGGGAGGATAGTTGAGTGGTACGGCGTTACTTTACCTAGCATGTGAGCACCCGAGGATGGTTACTGTAAAGGGGAATCTGGAGGGTAAAAGTTGTTCTGTTTTAAGATTTATTTATTTTTATTTTATGTGCAGTGCTGTTTTGCCTGCATGTATATCAGTGAAGGTGCCAGATATTCTAGAACTGGAGCTACCGACAAGTTGTGAGCTGCCGTGTGGGTGCTGGAAGGTGAAACCAGGTCCTCTGGAAGAGCAGCCAGTCCTCCTAACCTGAGCCCTCTCTCCAGCCCCCAAGTTGTGTTGTTTTTTAAGCAAAGTTGGAGTTTGGAGTTTTTGTTGTTTTGGAGGCAGTTTAAAAGTGCAAGTTTTGTCTGTATGCTTGATCATGTTCATCTCCCACTCCTACCTATAACTTTTCCCTGATTTCCCACCAGGTGATGGTAGTACATGCCTCTTTCCTTTTATTATTATCAGTTATTATAATTTATTCAATTTGTATTCCAGCTGTAGCCCCCTCCCTAGTCTCCTCCAGATCCCTCTCTCTTCTTCCCCATACCCCTCGCCTAGTCCACAGATAGGGGAGGACATCTCCCCTTCCATCTGACCCTAGCCTATCAGGGCTGGCTCCATTGTCTTTCTCTATGGCCTGGCAAGGCTGCACCTCCCCCCCCCCAGGTGTTCAGAGAGCCAGCCACTGAGTTCATGCCAGAGACAGCCCCTGCTCCTATTACCAAGGAACCAGCTTGGAGGCTGAGCTGAGCTGCCCATGGGCTACATCTGAGCCCCAGTTGTCTAGGCAATCTCCATGCATGGTCCTTGGTTGGAGTATGGTACATGCCTTTAATCCTAGCAGAGGTGGGTAGATCTGAATTGGAGGCCAGCCTGATTTGGCGTGAATTCTAGAACAGACAGGTCTACATGGTGACACCTGTCTCAAAAAAAAACTAAATAAAAGTAAATAAAGGGATGAGTGAATAATAGTCTTGTTTGTTTGTCTGTCTGTGTGTTTGTTTGTTTGTTAGCTGGCCATGTACTAGAGTTTGGTCAACCCACCTGGAAGCCTTGAAGAACAAATGACTTGACTCAGAGGCCATTGCTTGTCTCTGGTTTTAAAGTGTGGTTATTATGGGATGGAGCATGATCCTTTTTAAAAGGAGTTTTCATGTGTAGCTGGCTTTTTCTGTAGACCAGAGTCAGTGTAAGGCTTATTCTGGACTGCCGGGTCCATTGTAGAAACTCTACTTTACTTCTACATAGGTACCTGTATACTTTGGATTTCCCAGAGAGCCGAGTAATCAATCAGCCAGATCAAACCCTGGAAATTCTGATGAGTGAGCTTGACCCAGCAGTTATGGACCAGTTCTACATGAAAGACGGTGTTACTGCAAAGGATGTCACTCGTGAGAGTGGAATTCGTGACCTGATACCAGGTTCTGTCATTGATGCCACGCTGTTCAATCCTTGTGGCTACTCAATGAATGGAATGAAATCAGATGTAAGAAATTGAAGTTTGGACAATTATTTCAGTGTTTGTATTTTCTCCTTTCTGTTACTAACAACAAAATTCCTCTTTCAGGGAACATATTGGACTATTCACATCACTCCAGAACCAGAATTTTCTTATGTTAGCTTTGAAACAAACCTAAGTCAGACCTCCTATGATGACCTGATCAGGAAAGTTGTGGAAGTTTTCAAGCCAGGAAAATTTGTGACCACCTTGTTCGTTAATCAGGTAATTTGACTTCTGGCCTTCTTGGGCCATACAGGGGCTTGCACATCCAGCCCAACGACTATGGTTGCTGGGAACAATAAAGCCTAAAGGGCTTTGCTACAGGATGTTGCAAGGTGACAGCTACACCTAGTCACCGAGCTATACGGCAGGGCCATTTACTGTGGCTGCTGGGCAGAGACCTTACATGTTTCATTACTGTTTCGTCAGTCTTGTGTGGCACCCAGGTAGTGAGTTGTACTGATGCTCCCTGTGGATACCTGGTCAGAGACCATCGACACTCCTTCCCAGCCCATGAGGAAAATCAAATAAAACGCCACATTTGGGGCTGCAGAGAGTTCAGCAGTTAGAGAGCACTTGGCTTTGTCAGAGGACCTGAGTTCAGATCTCACTCCTGCAGCAAATGGCTCCAGAGGCTGCAATACCAAAGAGCCGGACGACCTGTCTCTGATCTCATGGCATATGCACATGTGCTCATACACACATAAAGACATGGTTCAAATCAAATACATCTTTTAAAATACACAGTTTTAAAACATCACCATTTGTCTGGAAATAATCTACAAAAGTGCTAACGTTTGTTTCTATTTTTTCCCCAGAGTTCTAAATGTCGCACAGTGCTTTCTTCACCCCAGAAGATTGAAGGTTTTAAACGTCTTGATTGCCAGAGTGCTATGTTCAATGATTACAATTTTGTTTTTACCAGTTTTGCTAAGAAACAGCAACAACAGCAGAGTTGATTAAGAAAAATGAAGAAGAAAAAGCGCAAAAAGAGAAGACACACAGGAGGTGGTGGCCGCTTTCTAGATGTTGACACTGGGGGCTGTGCTCTCCATGACCACCACCTTGTAGTTGCAGAAAGCCCTAGGTGTAATGATAGTGTAATCATTTTGAAGTGTATGCATTATTATATCAAGGAGTTAGATATCTTGCATGAATGCTCTCTTCTGTGTTTAGGTGTTCTACGCCACTCTTGCTGTGGAATTGAAGTGCATGTAGAAAAGAACTTTGACTGTATGAATCTTTACGACACTTGTGAAAATGATTCAATTTGGTTTATGCACAGTGTAATATTTCTGCAGGCATCGTCCAAAATCCCCCACAGACAAGGCTTTCGTCCTCATTAGATGCTGGCCTCAGCTGACCATCTGCGACTGTTCAATTGCTGCCAGAGTTTTTACATCCAGTTACCTCCACTTTCTAGAGCATATTCTCTACTAACGTTATTCAAAATCAATTTTTACTTCATACAGGTGTTTTATGCAATGGCAATTAAAAGTTTTTCTTCCACAAGTTGAGTCCTTGTAAGAAAATAATTCCAGTTACTGTTTTGTGTTCTACTGTTCAATAGTTTGTACATTTGTAGCCCTGTGATTGATTTCTCCTCTCACCTTCTCAGCTCTTTCCTTCACTTCCCCCCCTGATACAGCAATACACTGTTACACTGTGGGCTTATGTAACAATCTTACACCCCAGGTGGGGGAATTTAGACATGGTCCCTGGTGTAATTTTTTTTCTAAGACATAAGGAATGTGGCCTTCTTATTGGCATGAACTTCTGTGGAAGATAAATGACAAAACTGTATCAAATGAAAAGAATTGAAGTCTCTGAGGGTGATTAGCAGGAAAACCCACTAAGAAAAAAAAAAAAACTGCATTGTGTATGGTGGTTGAGTGTTTTTAATTCCAGCATTCAGGAGTTAGGGCTACAGAAGAGAAACCCTATCTTCAGTGGAAACAGTGGGCTATGCCGTGCACTTCAATTAGCTTTAATGGAGTGCCTGCCCTGCCTTCACCAACTTACCAAGTAGCTATAGGAAGAATGGTCACCAAGTCAATGCAGAAGCTAAATCCTAAAGGTTAGAACCTTTAGGATTTAAAGGTAAAAGTACGGTGCCCTTTTTCCTTTAGCCACCATTGCCACCAATTACTCCTAAAGGAAAATTTGACCTTTCCATCTAAGACTTAAAAGTTGTAACTTTTTGTGATGCCTGTGAGCTGTCTGTTCTGTGTGGTCTTCCTTTCACCATGGTGTCACGTGATCAGATGAATGGCTGACCAGCAAGGAGCTACCCAGGCACTCGGCCAGATAGTGAGTGTAGGAACAGAACAGCGCTGAAGATACTTAGCGGGACTAGAAACACGGCTTTCAAGAGTTGCCATGTTAGTGGTGTTTGCAAATACTTTGAGATTTAAACAGCTAAGAAACGGAAAAAAATTTTATTTATTGCCCCTGTACTATTTTCTGGGTAGTTTTCTGGACTGATGCAGTGATATTTTGTTCCTTCTGTATTTATAATGAAACACTTTTTTAGTGTTTCTAAGCATATAGACTCTACTTGGTTTGAAATCAAGTGGTTGGAACACTGATTTTTTTTTTTTTTTTTAACACATGCTGTTGATTGAATGCTTCCTTGGGGAAGCTTTCAGTTAGCACTACCAGTCTGATTCTGTAAAGAGCAGAGCACCTAATTGCGATTTGGAGGACCAGTGTTTATTTAAGCTGGATTTTTGTGACCCGGTAGATTTTGGCTTGAGGTCTGACCCCCGATCTTACAGAATTAAGAATTCTAATGTTGACATTTGCATAGGTTTGTGTGGAAAAAAGCCTAGAAAAACTGTAGCTTGAATAGTGATCCTAGTGTGATTACGGGAGGGGAAGTTTTGGTGCCATAATTTCTCTTCGTTGGTGTTGGTTTTTTAATCAGTTGAGATGTATTTCTGTACCACATTGTAAGCTTAAATAAAAGTTTGCTTAATTGTCTAGTAACATTCAGAAAGTTTTCTGTTGCTTGCTGTCTACTTAACCAAAAACCAGAGAACTTCAAACATTTGTAGGTAGATGTTACACACAAGCCGTCAGTAGAGAGCTTCATAAGAAGTACAGTCTTTCACTGGAGTTTGGCTGGACGCCACCTCTTCTGGTCTTTTTTTTTTTTTTTTTTTTAACTTAGGTCATTATGTTCTGATTTTCTCAGGATGGACTTAAGTTAGATGCTTTGTTTTGGTTTTTTTCTTAGACTGACTCTAGAAGAAGGATGAGGCAAGAGGCTCACTTGAGCCCTATAGGTATATGTTTGTGTACCACCTAGGGAAAAAAAAATGGTGTTTGTGTGTGACACAGACTTGTTAATGTGAATTTCATTGTTCGTTAATGAGCATTTTTAAGATTTGTGCTTGTGTCAGTAAGTGAATAACTGTTACTAATTCTGTTTCTGGCTCCCCAGTGTTTTATTGTAATGGAAGAGGCACTGCTGGCTCCTGTTGGATCCTATCCCTTCCTGCCTTCAGAGACTCCCTTGAATTGCTCGTGTTTCAGTTGAGTTCAGTACTTTCCTGATTCTGGTTTTCTTCTTTACTTTCCTTTGAGTCAAACACTGTCTCTTGCTAGTCCCAGTATAAGTGGTCAGAAGGTTGAGAAATTGCCATTTTGTTGACAATTCCAAAGTTTTTTGACCTGCATAATTTCTAATGACCTTATATGGATATGTGCAAATAACTAGGAAATAGTCTGCCATTCACCTGTGCATTGAGCAGTGGAATGGTGAGGTGGTTCTGCCAGTAAAGACCCTGGCTACCAAGCCTGAGGATCCTGTAATCACACTAGAACCACAAGCTGTCCAACCCAACATACATGCCCCGTCACACGGGGATGAGGAAACACGTATCCAGTGTTGACCATAGTGCCTAGTACAAATGCATGATGAAGTGCTGAGTGTATAGAACTGGACAAGATCACATTCAATGGCAGATTAAGAGGGCAGTGAGGGAATAGACTGAATGTTAGGCTTAAACTGAAAGGTTAGAGGTTGCATGACTTAACATGAAGTAGCATGGACTATTGAAAAGCCAGCATACAGTAAGAATTTTTAATTTTAGTTCCATTCAGTAAGAGGATGAGCCAGAAGACTTGGGCTTATTCTGGACTTAGGCACATGTACAGATGGCATGTGCTCAAAAAACATTAAAGTTTCAGTAAAGACACAAGGCTGTTTGGAGACAAGTCAATTGGTAATAAGAGCAAGCACATTGTGATTTCTCTCAGGTTCGATAATCTCAGTACCTTTGTAGTGACAGACCCTGAAGGAACAAACATTGCTCAACATAAAGGCTGTACGTAGTGAACCTGTAGCAGCTGACTAGAAGGAAAGCCTGCAAGTCCTGTAAAAGGAACACTATAAGGGTGCCTTCTCTGCTCAATGTTAGGGGCCCACAGTGAGAGGCCTACCAAAAACTAGGTCTAAGGCAGCTCCAGAGTGATCTCAGTTTGAGGCCAACCTGGGTCTATATAGCCCCAGGGCTACACACAGAAACCTGTCTCAAAATGCTGGGCGGTAGTGGCCCTTGTCTAATCCTAAAAGCTCTCGGGAGGCAGAAACAGATCTCTGAGTTCAGGGCCAGCCCAGTTAGAGTTAAGTTCCAGGATAACCAGGGCACCTTGTCTCAACAAACACCAGGATTTTTTTTTTTTTTTTAAGACAAGATCTGTGCTTCTGAACTTGTGCTGGGATTAATGGTATGTGCCAACATGTTCAGCTCTTGATAGTTTTTTCTGTAACTTGCTGAGAAAGGTCAGGAGGGTGAAATCCCATTCACAATGGCTGAAAAACAGTACAACAACAAAACAAAAACAAGGGATAGAAAGTTGGCGTAGACCTGATTGACTCATGTCTCAAAGCAGGCTTGTGTCCCTGGACTGTGTTCGCTGAGCTCGCTCACTCTGCATTGCTCAAGAAGCTTCCCTTTCCTTGTGTAGAGTCAGTCATATTTCTGCTTCCTCACTTTTTTTCTCCCACTCAAGACATCAGTTTCAAACAATACTTCCTTCTACAAATTATCTAACTTCATTGTTTGGGTTTAAAGGCCTGTACCACCACCATACCTAGACTAAGTGTTTCTTTGCCTGAAACTTACTCTACACCAAGCTGACCTTGAATTCCGATCTGCTTGCTTCTGTCTGCTGGATTAAATGCCTGTTTGTATTACAGCCAGATCACAGACCTTGAAGGTCTTTGGATGTGATCTCTTGCCAGAACAGCCATGTTCTGAGTTGAAATTCCTCAACACTGTATTCATTGGTTTATTAAAATACTCATGACTGAGCTGGGTGGTGGTAGCACACATCTTTATGGATCTCTGTGAGTTCAAGGACAGCCAAGGCAACCCTGTGGGGAGTGGGGGAGGACTAGGGTAGCTATGGGAGAAAACCACCCTGTTCCAAACATTAAACATAGAAACATGGAGACCACGCTGGCCTCAAAGTCACAGAGATATGCCTATCTCTGGATCCCAAGTGAATTTGAATAACGAGGTTCAAAACTCACAAATAGTGAGATACAGAAAACTATTAGAGAGAGGGAGAGGACAGGGCTACCGTTCAGAAGCAACATGCTTCCGAATTGGAGTACCAAGTAGCCAAATGAATTGCCTTGCAGTTAACAAGGCTTTAGAAGACAAAGTGGGTGCAGTGAGCTGGTGAGTCCAGTTGTCATCCCAGGGGTCCAGGTCCTTGTGGTTTTGGGTCGCATTCTTAGTATAGCTTTGGGAAAAGGGACAGTCCTTTAGAGAAAAAGAGAGAAAGCCACACCTTTATGTTATCTCCAGACTGGCTAGAGACGCGTATTTTTGGCTTAGACGATTCTGGCATCTCCCGATGTTGGCAAGGATGAGGCTTTGGAATTTGTAGGACATTTTGGCTTTTAACCAAGAAAGAAACCCGTTGCTTTTCTTTGGGGACGTTTTACACTAAGCTGGCTGGCCTGTTTCTACCTCCTGTTCTCATCAGCTGCTGGCTGAAGCCTAGAACTCTTACTGAAAGGGCTATTAGAAGTTGAATTCACAGCTGTTTGCTGTGGCAGTACATACCCAAAATCCCAGCCCTCTGGAGACAGGCAGACAGGTAACCTGGGAGTTTGAGGCCAACAGGGCCTTCATGGTGAGCTGCCCAGCCAAGGCTAATGGTGAGACAGTGTCTGATGGCCTTCAGGGAGTACGGCTCCTTCCTATTGGACAGCATGCATACCAAGAATGTGGAGAGTACCAGGTTGTCCTCCATGCCCAACACTGATGAGCTCCTCATGGCCTACAGGAATATCCTGTCATCTGCTCCAACGTTTTAGAGGGTAGCCGGAAGCAACGGACGTGGAAGCAGAAGGGACAAACACCTTCAGGAAATGCATACAGGAGGCTATAAGGAACCAGTAACAGGAAAACCTCAAGGTTCTCAGGTGAGACGGTCAGCATCTGCTACCCCTCTAGGCGCAATCCAAAGGGACAGGAGGGGGTTGGAGGGTGAAGAGGTGACTCATGGTTAAGAGTACTTTCTGCTCTTGTAGAGGACCAGAGTTTGATGCCCAGTTGGGTGGCTCACAACCGCCCGTAATTCCAGCTGTGACTGTTCTGGCCTCTGAAGGCATCGACATGTATGTTCACATAAAGATACACATATACATAAATAAAAGTATTAAAGATCAATAAGCTGGACGTGGTGGTTCACACCTGTAATCGCAGCACTCCAGGAAGCAGGCAGGCAGACCTCTGAGTTCGAGGTTGACCCGCTCTACAAAGCAAGTCCAGGATGTCCAAGGCTACACTAGGAAATCCTGCCTCAAAAATAAGTAAGCAAGCAGCTGGAAAGATGGCTCAATTGTTAAGAGCACTGCCTGCTCTTCCAGAGGACCCAGGTTTGATTCTCAGCACCCATACAGCAGCTCATAACCATTTGTAACTCCAGTTCCTGGGGATCCTATGCCTTCTTTTGGCTTCTTCAGGTACCAAGCCTGCATCTCCTGCACATAGATGTAGGCAAAACACAAACACATAAACTCAATCATCCAGTCAATAAATAAATGCAATCTAAGTGAAAACAGAGCAGCCTAACACTGAGAAGACCAGAGTGCCGCAAGGCTATCACTGAGCTATACAACATGCAACAGCTGGAGGTCATAAGCATATTTGCAAGGAACACATCACTGACTTGGTGGGATGCTAATGGGAAATGTCCAAAGCTCAGTGCTAGGACCTGAAGCACTTGGAGACCAACACCTGGATGGAGATCCTCAAAGGCTAGCTGGATGAGCACTGGTGATGAGCTGGCTGCCATCAGGGCATTGCATGGCAGCCAGCATCTAAAGATGGATAATCCAGAAGGCGAGCACCGGTGATGAGCTGGCTTCCATCAGGGCATTGCATGGCAGCCAGCTCCTAAAGACGGGTAATCCAGAAGGCGAGCTGGTGACAGGATATGCTCTTGATGACATGTCTAGTAGTCAGAGCTGCCTGGATGAGACCCCAAGGAATGACAAGCAGTGAAGGAGGTCGGTCAGTACATTACCATAGAGTGAGCTGGACCGCTTGACCTGTGGTGGTATCCTGCACTTCCCCCAATACCGTTCTACCCACTCCTGGAAGAAAGTCTCAGTATCTAGAAAAGCAAAGCCCAGAATGGCGGTGTACTCCTTCAATCCCAGCACCCTCAGGAGGCAAAGCCAGGTGGGTGGATCTGTATGAGTTCAAGCTCAGCCTGGCCTATATAGTGAGTTTTAGGCAATCCAGAACTCTACAGTGAGACGTTGTCTCAAAGAAGAAAGATAAGAAAGGTCACTTTTTTTTTTTCAAAATATATATTTAGAAAAAATTTTTTTTAGAGCTCAGGGCCTTGTGCTTGCTAGGCAACCGCTCTACCACAGAGCTAGCTAAATCCCTAACCCCTTCTGTTTTTTTCAAAACAGGGTTTCTCTGTGTAGCACTGGCTGTCCTGGACTCACTTTGTT